ATCTGTTTCTTTGCTCAGCATTGTTTGTGAGATTTATCTCTGCTGAGTGTGGTCACTCAATTTCACCACTGCATAATATTCCATAGTCTGCATATTTGTGTATCTATTCTTCTGTTGTTGGTATTTAGGTGTTTACAATTTTTAGCTAATAAGAAGGTACTGCTGTAAGCATTCTGTGCATGTCTCCTGGGGCCCATGTAGAAGAGTTTCTGTAGGGAAAGGGTCACCAGGTCTCCTAGCACATTGGAGTCAGCTGGGGAGCTTTAAAAATCCCAATGTCAAAATCGGTTAAACCAGAATCTCTAGTAGGGGGTGGGGCCAGCATGAGTACTTTTAAAGCTCCCCAGGTGATTCCGATGGGCAGTCAAGGGTGACAACCACTACCCCAGACCAGTGCTACCCAAGGTGCCGGCGTCCACCTGGGCATTGCTGAAGCTTGTTAGATGTGCACTCTAACCCCAGAGCTAGCGAGTGAGATTCTGTCTTAGCAAGATCTCAGGGGCTGGCTGCAGGCCTCGCACGTCTCCTTCTGCTGGGTATTGCCAGGCTGCTGCTCAGGATGGGTGCACTGGTCCACGCTGGTGCAGAGGTTTCCTGTCACTGTGCCGGGCACTTGGAGGGCTCCTTCTCTATGGACACTCACTGCCTTCAGTCCTAGGAAATACTCTTGTATCATTTCTTCAACAACTTCCTCTCTTCTGTTTTCTGTTTCTTGGTTTGAAATTCCTACCAGTTGGAAGTTGGACCTTCTGTAGTGATCTTAACTTTTTGTTGTCCAATGTTCTTGACTTTTTTTCTTTTTTTGCATTTATAGATTTTACTTTCTGGGGGATTTTCTCTCATCTCATCTTCTATCCCTTTTCATGCATTTTTAAATTTCTGCTACTGTATTTTTACTTTTCAAGAACTTTAACACTGCCTTTGAAAAAAATAACATTCTTTTCTTGTTTCTGGGTATAATGTCTTCAGAGGATTTTCCTCTCTTTTTCTGTTTTGGAGTTTCTGCATTTTCAGTTATTGGATTTTGTCACGCGTTGGGTGCCCTTGGCTGTTCCTGTCATGAGTGAAACACAACAAAGCTAATGGGCAGCTCTGTGCCTGTGGGCAGGGCTGGGGGCCCCACAGCCATGGCTGGGCAGAGACCCCTGTTTGACTGGGGAACTACAATGTCAGGATGTGCTGATCTATTCTCTTTGATCAGTTTCCCCCAAGAGAAACTCCATAATACCCTGCCTTGGGGGCGCGTGAATGGGAAATAGGCCGGGGAAGGGGGCCGAGGGACTCCCCATTAACCATCCCTGATTTCAGTAAGGAACCTCACCCAAGAGTTTGATTAGTCTTGGGGTCCCCAATCCAGAATCTTTCTAGTTCAACCTTAGCCAGCAGTAAACCTGTCTTCTGCCCTGGTCAGGGAACGGGGGTCACCAGTTCCTGAGGGCTGGGAAGGGGGCCTGGGGATCTAACCACTTCTTTCAACCAATGCTATTTCAGGCCCACCCTGAACTTTCACCTTAGGGACACCTGGCCCCCCAAGCTCTGAGCTTCTGGGGGATTTGGCAAAGGGCTTGTTCATGGTTGGCTTCTTCTCTTATAGATATTCTGGGGAGTGAGGGACGCTGACACTAAGCAAATTATACTGTTCCATCTTCCAAAGCTTTTCAGACCTCTCTCATCCACTGCCACCTTCTCTCCTGTTCTTTTCGCCTTTGTGGTTTATGCCATTCTCATTCCTTTATGTCATTTTAGTAGGGTTTTAGGGGACAGAGGAAAATGTGAATGTGTTCAGTCCACCATATGTAACCAGAAGTCCTTGTCCATTTTAAAAACATTTTTACATATGTTCATGTGAGTTTGTACAACTCATTTTATTTGTATTAAAATTTATTTTTAACATAGACGGCCTTGTTTTTTCCATGCAACACTAGGTTTGTGAGCTCTGTTCACACACACAGATCTAGCTGGTTCCTTTTACTGTGGCTTAGGAAGTGTTCCAGCAATTCAATGTACCACATTTTTTTTCATCCATTTTTCTATTGCTGCATCTCAGAAACACAGGCGATTGTGGTCTTTTGATTAACACACTGGCTCAATGCAAATTCTAATCTTTATTGTTTTAATTCTGAAGCATAATGTGTCTCAGGGAAACAGAGAGCTTTTTTACCAGCTGCCAGCGGCAAGGGCAGGCTCATGGGTGGGGCCCTGAGAGCTCCTGACTCAGAGCAGGTGGCCCTTCCAGAACAGGGTGGCTGGGGGTGCGAGAGGGGCAGGAAGGATGGGACGGTGTGGACGGACAGGCACACACACAAAGAGGCACATGCACACACGCGCACACTCTCTGTCTCCAGGGAAGGGTTTTCCAGAAGCATTTGCCTGCACTCTGAATTAAATATTTTTCATGCCAAACCAAACCTACTGAAGAGAAGTGAATCGATGGCTGGGGGAGCCCGGGGCCCTGGCTGGGGACTCAGCCCGAGGCTGCTCTTCAGTGAGTGAATCCACAGTATTCACTAGAACCCTCCCGGCCCCTTGAGCTGCAGGGAGGCCAAGGGAGGGATTCAAAGAAACCTAACAACGGGCCACGGTTCACCCTCAGCTCCAGGGCCAGCCCTGGGAGAGGAACAAGAAGGGAGAGGGCGGGTGGGTCTCCCACCCCACCTGCTCCACTCCCTCCGCCTGGTGTGAGGGGCCAGACTCCGCCTCGACGGTACCGCTCTGGGCTATGTTAATACAAATGTGGAGAAAGGCCCGCCTGGCGGCCCCTCTGAAATTGCAGTGCACGAGGGAAGGTGCCACATCCATCCCAACCCAGGACACAAGCAAGCTTCGGGTAACCACAGGGCAGGCTGCTGGCGGGGAGGGCAATAAATAAGGCAGGGCCAAATGCGGTGGTTGGAGCGGGTGGTCGAGGGCGGCAGCTGAGTGAGAGGAAGGCACGCGAAGGCACTGGGCGGGGCGCAGACTCAGCCCCCAACACTGGTTAGTGGAGTCCCAGCCAACAGGGAGGCTGGCAGGGACGCAGGACCGGGCAGGGTCTGGCTCCAGCTTTCTTGAAATCTTGCATCAAAAAGTCTGTTCCAGGCACAAAACACGGCTCAGCGCAGCGCGGGGTAGGGGCCTGCTGGAGACACGTCAGCAGCGGGGGCTCGTCCGGGTGTGTCTTTTGCCTTTGGAGGAGAGAAAAAAGGCCACCACACAGTGAGCAGAGGTGACAGCTTGACTTTTGGGAATGAAGTGGAGGTGACGGTGGCGGGGAAGGCAGGTCCCTTGCTAGAACGGCCCCCATGCCCAAGGCTGCTGCTTGGTGTGAACCAACTGGGGGCTGCCCAGGAGGGCTGGGGCCGGTGCCCAGGCAGGGGGGCGGCTCTGCTTTGCCTGTGATCGCAGGAAAGTTGCCGACCCCTCTGGGTTTCCATCTGCCCATCCTAACAGGGGTGATCATCACAGTGATCTGGGGATGGGGGAAGGAGCAAATGGCTGTGGGAATGTCAGATCCTCCTCTGGGCCAGGCCTCTCCAAGTTGTTTCTTAAGCCCTGGAGCCCTCTCTATGCGCCGGGCCCCACAGCCCCCCGCTGGGGACCCACTCAGGGAAAGCAGTCCCCATGGATGCTGAGTTTCACCTCCCGGCAACCCCGAGAGGGACACGTTAGCGATAATGGAACTGGCTGCAGAGAGGTCAAATATTAAGTTGAACCATATCAAATTGCTGGTATTTGACTATGTCTGACTTACAAAAATGCAATTTCTTATGGTTCAAGCTCACGGTCTGTCCAAGGCCACGTGGCTATGTGTGGCAGGGCTGGAACTAGAATTCGGGGCTGCAGATGCCTCTCACTCCCTGGAGACCTGCCCATCGCTGCTTCCCTCCCGGATGCCCTGTAGCTTCTGGGGAACCATCACGTGGGAGACAGGGCAGGAGGCGGGTGGTGGCCGGGGTGCCCTCCACACCCTGGGGTCTGATGCACACATGCACCTGTGAATCCTCTGGCCAGGAAGGTGCCCAGTCCGCCTGGGGCTCCTTTCTTGAAGGAGACTGGGGGCTGGTCCTGCACTCGCAGTTTTCTCTGGCTTGAGTGTGAGGAGACCCTCCCCTCCCCCAGTCACGTGATGGTCCTGGGCTGGCCACGGCTGGGGACAGTGGGTATGGGGCAAGGTGGGAGCCTTGGATGCTTCCCCTTACCCAATCTGTGCCTTGGTTTCCACACCTACCAAATGGGGGGAGGAAACCTCCTGGCTACTCTGCACATGGAACAGAAGTTGACCTTGGTGGTGCTAGGGAGGGCCGGGGCACCACGCCCCACTCTGGTGTACCCGGAATCTCCCTCCTAGGATGTGGGCAAGCTCCAGGCTGGGCTCTGTTTTGGGTGGGTTGATTTGGCTTCCTCAGTGATGTGGCAGGTTTCTGGAGGGCCAGGACCACCCCACCCCGCTCCCAGCTCAGGCTGGGCACATGACGGGCTGAGTGAGGACTGGACCGCACACAGGAGGAGCCCCTGAAGCAGGAGTTGCCATGCCCAGTACAGAGACGGGAAAGGCTGCAACAATCACGTTTTATAAAGCGGAGGATGGTAATGACCGTTGCTGTGATTCCCAAGAGTGGCTGCGGTGGTTACCAATATTATTATGGGTCCTTTCTCTGTTCATCGCGGGCAGGGAGGGGGTCTGGCTCACCTCTGTCCCCCAGTACCTGGCATGGTGCTCAGTAAACACGGAGAATTGACAATGTCGCCTACCATGCTCCAGTCGTGGATGAGTGAGAGGGGGAGAGGGTTGCGGGGGCAGGGGAGCAGGCGGGGGAGCAGCCAGGTACTCACCAGGGCCCTTGGGGTCGGCCCGGGGCGGGGTGCCCCCCTGTGGGTCTGTAGAGCCTGTCCCAGTCTCACTGGCCAGGCTGCTCTGGCTCCCCGAGAGGTGGCTGGGTGGGCGGATGAACCCCATCCTTGGGGTCTCCACACTGCTGCCTGCAAGAGACCACACGTGGCTCTCACACTGAGACAAGGATGATCATGGCCCAGTAAGAACCTGATCGAAAATTCTTATCATTTGGAATTATAGTGCATCTCTGGGACTATCTGCCCAGCAAGCCCCCTACCCTGGGAACTGTCCCCCATCCACGTGGCTGCCAGGTCCCGGCATGACCCCACCCTCTGGCCACTGCTGAGGGTCTGATATACACCAAGGCAGCAGAACAGGCCCGCAGGTACTGTCACTAAGTTACAAGTCACCAACATGAAACTCCCCCATTATTAGGAGTTTCTCCTACCTTCATAGGATGGGAGAGGGGGAAGGATGTATATTTCAGTTACCCTAATGAGAGAGAGAGAGAGAGATTGAGAGAGGGAGGGAGAGGCGGAGAGTGGGAGAGGGGGAGAGGGGGAAGGGGGGAGAGAGAGAGAGAGAGATAACTGCTGCCTTTGCCTTTGCTAAGTAAAGAATCCTCACCCAAACGTGGTTTTAGGTCCTTGCCTGGCCAAGAGAACAGATGTGCAGCCTGTCGTACTTTGCCCAATCTTTTCCTAGCTCCTAGTCCTACCTGGTCACAGCTGAGAGTGGGTGTGAAGGGAGGGGACAGCGCCATCACGGTGGGGAGAGGAGGGGATGGCTTGCCCTGGATACCAAAGCTGGCAGGTAAGTTTCCTTCACACTTTTCTAATGTAGAATCTAGAATCTTCAGCCCGAAGGGGCCTGAGAGGTCCTCTAGCCCAGGGGCAGTTTTCATCTCTTGCGTCACCTCCACCTACTGATGCTGACCACTCGGAAACTGTACTGCAGAGGATTCCGAGGGCGCGTGAAGGCTCCGTGGGGAAGACCGTCTTGATTAACTAGTAATGTCTGCCATGGTTACAGGATAGGCAGTCGTGGTATGTGTGCCAGGCATTTGCTGTCTCTGATCTAGCCCAAACTTCCATTCCCAACCCAGTCTTGGCCCCAGGACAGCACCCCAAGGCATTTCATTCCAGTTTGGAGCAGTTATCATAAAGCTCTTCTTATACACTAAAATCAGCCTCTTTGAAGCTTTCAAATATCCCAGTTCTAACCTGAGGAGCAGCTTTGCATGAAGCTGGCCCTTTATTCCAAAAGCCTGTCATGTGTTTGAAGGAAAGAAAAATGCCTTTCCTTTCCTTCCCCAGGCCTTCTCTGCTCCAGCCTCAATACCCCAGTTAACCCTCTTTCATACGACAGGGTCACAGAGGTGAGCTCAGCGATGTCAAAATCGAAAGGCACTTTGGAGCCCACCTGCTCCGTCTTGCTTGATAACAAGGAAAGGCAGGCCCGAAGGTCATGGCATGCCCTGGGGATCCCGCTGCAGTTTCACGGCAGAGCTGAGCTGGGGCAGGGAACGCTGTCCCTGGTTTTCACAGATCTCATCACCCTCGAGGCAAAATCTCAGCTGGGGAATGCTCAGGGGTGAGCTTGGGAGGAAGCCCAGGTGTGCCGGCAGAGGGCACAGGGAAGCCTGCCCTTCTTCCCCCTGCCACGTGCAGAGGAGCCTCCCGCTAAGCCCTGCTCTTCGGTGGTGCATTTTTGCATGTCTTTGTTTTTTTTATTTTTTATTTTTTTTGAGACAGAGTCTCACTCTGTTGCCCGGGCTAGAGTGCCGTGGCGTCAGCCTAGCTCACAGCAACCTCAAACTCCTGGGCTCAAGCGATCCTCCTGCCTCAGCCTCCTGAATAGCTGGGACTACAGGCACACACCACCATGCCCGGCTAATTTTTTCTATTTTAGTAGGGATGTGGTCTCGCTCTGGCTCAGGCTGGTCTTGAACTCCTGAGCTCAAGCGATCCTCCCGCCTCGGCCTCCCAGAGTGCTAGCATTACAGGCGTGAGCTACTGCGCCCAGTGCTAAGGCTTTAGCTCAGAGTCGTCCCACCCCCAGGCCGGCTTCTCCCCCAGATCTAGACCAGCTCCTTGGACACCTGTGGGGCAGAAAAGCCACTTGGCACCTGGGCCTTTATAAGGAAGCAGTGTCACTTCCCTCACTTACCTGACTCTCCTGAGGGTCTGTCACCTTTCTGGTCCCTGACCCCAGTGGGAGGGAGTCTGTCCTCCAGGCTGCAGGAGCTGAGATCCGAGTCACTGTCACTGTCGCTGGAAACCACTGGAAAAGACAGACACCAGCACAGGAGGTCACCCCTCTTGGCTGCTAGTAGCAGGCACCTTGGACAGAGGGGGCCAGGGCAGGCCTCCCCGCTTTGTCACCCTACCATGACAAAGTGGTACAGAAGCTCAGCTGGATGGCCCTTTTGTTTTGGGCATGAGAAACAATAGCCCAGGAACAGGAGGGCACTCTTTCTGCCAGAGATGTGAGTCCCAGTGGGAGAAGGCTGGGACTTGGGCCCAGCGTGACCAGCACCAGTAGGGAGAGGCCACCCTATGGCCAGTCATCTCCACACATCCCCCCGTCCCTGTGGTGGAAGCTGATTGTCACCTTTGGTGTAGGCACAATAGCTCTAAGGCCTCTACCCAGCCACACAAAAGGCAGAGGCAATGTTCTGCAGGAATGAGAATTACAGTAGTAGCTGACCCTTAGGGAGCCTTCCAGGCCTTCACATATATAAATTTTATTTATTATTATTTTTTGACAACAGGGTCTTTCTCTGTTGCCCAGGCTGGAGTGTGGTGGTGCTATAACAGCTCACTGCAGCCTTGAACTCCTTGGCTCAAGCTATCCTCCTGCCTCAGCCTCCTAAGTAGCTGGGACTACAGGTGTGCGCCACCACGCACAGCTATTTTTAAAAAAATTTTTTTAGAGATGGGATCTCTCGCTGTTACCCAGGTTGGTCTTGAACTCCTGGCCTCAAGTGATCCTCCCACCTCAGCCTCCAAGTAGCTGGGATTACAGGCGTGAGTCACCGTGCTTGGCATATATATGCATTTATTAAAGCTTCAGAGCAACCCTGAAAGATAGGAAATATCATTCCTCCTATTTCCAGGTGAGAAACCAAGGCACCTGCCCCAGGCAGTACGTGGAGGAGCTGGTATTCTAACCCCGGCAGGCTGGCTTGTAACCAGTTGATTCCACCAGAAGAACTGAACTGGGAGCCAACAGGCCTGGGCTTTCATCCCAGTTTATCCAGTAACTCACAGTGGGGTCTTGTGACTGAGGAAGGGAACCAGACGGCCAGGGCTGGAATCCAGGCGAGGGGAGGGGGAGGATGCTTTCAACAGTGAACACACACTGCAGTAGAAACTCTCTTTTCTGGACTAAATGGGACCACATTTGGCTGGTTAATCAACAGTGGGAGTCATGATACAGGATATACTCATCCTTTAAATATTTTATTTTAATTTTAAACATAGAAATGTACATCTATGTGCCAATCTTTTGATGTTGGGCTTGGGTGCTGCTTTGAGATTGGGCCCACATGGTCTTTCATGTGTATAAACGACATCCATGTTGTGTCGTCTGTGACTCAAGTTTCAGTTTATTTGAATTGAAGCAGGAGCTCAAAGGCCCTGGCAGCCCAGGTGCCGTGGCTCACACCTGTAATCTTAGCAATTTGGGAAGCCGAGGCAGGAGGATCACTTGAGGCCAGGATTTCAAGACCAACCTGGGCAACACAGCAAGACCCTGTCTCTTAAAACAAAAATCAGTTGGGTGTGGTGGCACACGCCTGTTGTCCCAGCTACTCGGGAGGCTGAGGAAGGAGGATCGCTTGAGCCCAGGAGCTTGAGGTTGCTGTAAGCTACGCTGATGCCACTGCACTCTACCGGGGCAACAGAGTGAGACTCTGTCCACTCCCCCTCCAAAAAACCCCACAAAAAACCAGACACTGGCAAAGCAATGCGATGTAGAATTCTTTTTCATTTTTTCCCCATTTTTCACAGTGTCCTGCTCACCCCAACAGAATTTTTTAAGTAACCAGCTCTCCCAGGTGACTGACCCAGCAGACGGGGCAGGGGTCTGAGGCATGTGTCAGTGTGTTTTACTTGGGGAAGCAAAGGCGCTGGCTGTGGAAGAAGGTCAGGGCGTGTTGAGCCCTTAATGCCAGCCACGTGTGAGGCCCCGAATGAGCATTATCCTACCCGATCCTCCCAACAGCCCTGAGCCACAGGCACCCATCTGGTGGGAGGCGAGAGCGGAAACAAAATCCGTCCACACCAAGGGTGGTTAATCGGTTCCACTGGATCCACCGAGCCCTTTCTGGGGCAGCACGTAGAGAATCCCGAGGCTGCATTAAAGCTCAGCAGGAGAAAGTGCCTGGCCGGTGGGGGGGACCCGCTGTGGGTACAGGAAGGGGAAATGGTAGCTTCCACCTGGATCGAGAGCCTTCTGGAAAGTCTTCATGCCTTCAGCCTATGTCACCTTTCA